ACTCGGATCGCTCTCTCCCCTTCCTCCTCTTTGTCTTCCTCCTCAAGGTCCCTCGCGGCTCGCTTCGCAGGAGACTTTGACGTGGACTTTGCTTTCGTTTTTGGCGGAATAATCTCGAGTGCCTCTTCTTCGTCTGAACTGTCTTCCCCCATGCGGCCCTTTTTTGCCTTCTCCACCACGCGTGAACTGGAAGGTTTGGTAGGACTCGACGGCTTAACCGTACTCGAAGTCTTTCCAGGACGCTTCTCAGGACTCGTGGATTTCGCGGTGGCCGATGGCTTCGTTGGACTCGATTTCTTCACCACGTTTTCATGCTCCTTCGCCTGTTCCCGTCCCCGACTCTTCCTTGGCGAAATACCCACAATCTCCACATCCTCCGCTTCAGTAATTTCCTCCTCAACCAACGCCTGCACTTCATCCACCTCTTCCCTATCCATCGCGCTCCCAGCTGTAGCCTGTGGCATCGAAAGTTCTGCTCCATACCCGATCTCCTCATCCACCTCCATCGGCTTGGAAGCGTTGTTTGCGTCGACGTCCATACTCACGTCCCCATCGTCCTCGACAGGAGGGGAAGAAGGGAGAGGATGAGAAAGATCATAAGCGTCTTCCTCCGCATACACCTCCTGCATCGCATCAACTTCTTCCTCAATCTTGGTTTTCCGTTCGGTACTGGTTGAAACCGCGGGTCCGCCTACAAGCTCGACGTTAACATCAGCCTTTCGAAGGACATGCAGCGGGTACAAAAGAGGGGCAACGCACCTCCAAGGACACCCCTCACTCCAAGAACCCCACTAAAATCAACCCCAGGAGGGAACATGATATACTTTTCGGTTGCAGGTGTGAGGTTTCGCCATTGGATGAAGCAGTCTTCGAGCCAGGTGTGGTTAACCACTGGGATAGACCAGGAGAGGGCTTTGAGGGCTTTTGTAGAGTCTTTCCTAGAGGCGAGCATTAACGAGGCTCGTTTATGAGGAAACGAGGGAGAGAGCAAGGGATCGGAGGAAAGGAGAGCAAAGAAGACAGAAGAAAATGCAAAAGTAAGAGAGAAGAAAGAATCGAGGACGTACGTAGCAGCAACCAACACCGTATTCCTCGCACTCATACTAGGCGTAAACCGCGCACCCATCGTAATGATGAGTTTCTTGAGATACTCTCTCGCTTCGCCTGTATAGTTCGTCACTGTGATTTCCTATAATCCCATCTTATCAGCCACCGCCCGCCCATCTCCCCTACGACCAGAACAAGGAGAAGGAGAAAAAAGACATACATGATGCTCAAACCCCCCAATCTTCCCCCTCGGAATCGGATAATGCAACAACTGATCCATCGGACGCGTAAACACCCCAGTCGACTGCACATGATACACCCACGCAAGTGTCCCTATGGTTTTGGACGATTGGTGCGCCTGGACGTACCCCCTGCCTTCACGCCAACGCGTCACGTAGACGTCGACGGTTCCTGATTTGATAGATTCGGCTTCGCGTCGTTCGAGATCTCGTTCTTTCCCTGCTCGGCGTTGTTTTTCGGTTTGGGAGATGGTTGGTTTCGGTTGTGTAGGTTCTGGAAACGTCTCGTTTTAGCGTCGGCTCATCATGCAGAAAGTCTGGCAGCCGATGGGATAGAAAAAGGAAGAGGGACATACCAACAACCCCCTGAACCCTCCCACCCCGATCTTCATCCACAACTTCCTCCTCCTCCCCATCCACATCATACCACGCATCTTCATCCCCTTCAAACCTCTCAATCGTACCACCCGCACGTCGAATGGAAGCTTCGACCGCTTGTCTCCTCCCACCCGCCAACTTTAACGTTCGAGAAAGTAAAAACGATTTCCCGTGCCAGACGTCTTTTTTCTGCCCTGTCGTCGTTGCGGGTGCGTGAGTGTTGGCAGAGGTACCAGGGAGACCAACGGAGAAGGCGGTCACGTCCAAGTTCCGCTTTTCGCCATTCGGCGTAAGCTTGACTGAGCTTTCGTAGACGCTCTTCTTGAGTGGGTCGCGTTCGATGTTGCCTGCTTTTTTACGCTGTTTCTCATGTTCGTTGGGAGGCTTTATGAGGTGTAGCAAGGAGAGGGATCCGTTGGTGAGGTAGGGTGGGTTTGGCCATTCGTATGGTTTTGTGTCGAGTGTTTCTGTTATATACCCGTGAGCATGAAGGTGGAAAGGGAAGGGAAGAGGGAAGGGAAAGAAGCGTACCTGCGCTGATACCTAGTCGTACACAATCGTCGAACCAGTGTGGGAGGACGACTTTGACGCCTGTCTGAGCTTGGAAGTGGAGTGCTGTAGCGTATTTCGTTGAGGTTCCTGGAGGTCTATATATACGCGTTCAGTATTGGCTCTCGAGGAATCGATGATGATGATAGAGCACGTACGCATTCTCATCGACAGGAGGCCTCGCTCGAATCGCGAACAGATGCGTGACTTCCTTGGTCAATCCAGTACGCCACTGCCCACCGAGCGCGATAATCCCGCCAGAGAGAACTTCAAGGTCAACCGGAGGCAGCTCAGTCGCGCAGGCTACGACACCAGAGAAGAAGAGTGTTGGGTCGGGTGAATAGTATTGTGGTCTATATCCAAAAAGTCAGCACCGGGATACAGAACGGGAAAGCAAGGGAAGGAACGCACGGCTGGACTTTTCCGAGGACGGCACTCCTCTCGACCCACTTGGGTGTCACAGTCCATCGCTCCTTCTTTTCGCCGTCTTCTTTGCCATCTTCAGTGTACCCCCATGAATCGCCACCTGCTTTCCTTCGTCCTGCAGTATTGTCCCCGGATTCCCGTTGTTGGAGATCTTTGAACGCTTGCCACCCTTCGAACCATGGTGTATCTGTTATGACTACGTCGACGTCTTGAAGTCTTTCAGTGTCGTTTGTTGAGGTTGCGCCGTTTGTGTCGAGGATGTGTTGTACCAAATCGAAGGTTTCAGGAGGGATGGAAGAGGAGAGATGGTATGTCGTATTGGAAAAGAGCATGTTTGTTTTGCTCGTAGATGTGCTATGGATGCATAAGAGTCAAGATGAACAGCAAGAAGACGAAACAAGCGCGACACGAGAAACGATGAACGCGTCCCTGACTAAGCACTTCTCACACTTTTCGGTCCCGCTACCACGCGTTTTCGCCATCAGAGTTAGGGGTTAACGTTCGTTCAACCATCGAAAGCAAAGGAGCAAATCCTCCCACTGTATATAGCTGAATGAGTGACGAGGCAAAAGCAATCCCAGTTGAAAAGGGATCATCTAAGGAAAATTATAAAGATGTGATAAACCCGCTTTCGATGCCAGTTGGGAATTGAACCCCACGTCTCATTCCTAAATCGCTGAAATGTTGAAAATATGCTGGAATGCGTACTAGTCCACTTTACCATGAAGATCTTCTCAGGCAACGTGTCTCCACAATCACATAAGCCATCCCTTGAATTTAAAATCGCTCTACCTCGTGTACCCCATGCGTCCCACGACTCGATATACATACAGTCCACGCGTCCTCTTTGTTCCTGATGGTAATGTACAAGTGACACCCACCACAGTGTGGTCGTAAAATAAAAAATAAAAAAGTTGGTTCCCAAAACCTAAAGAAAAGAAAACCGTTTTAAACATAGACCTCCGCTGGGGAGTCGAACCCCATGCCAGGAACGCGGCAATACACCGCTTTACCACGAAGGTTAATATCGCACATCTGCAACTATATTGGCATGCAGTAAAAAAAAGCAGTAAAGCAAGATGGCATGAACGACGGTTGACCCTCGGTAATCGGTTGTCCAATACTGAGATCCCAGGGCGCAATTGCGATCTCTCTCCACTATGCCCAAGACTGGTACTGAAAATTGACATACTTTTGATGAGGAATTGAACCTCCACCTCGTCGTTCTTTGACTTATCGCGTTGGAGAAGACCGTAAACTGGACCATTCGTACCACGGAGGTCATATAAGCATTCAAAAAAAAAAAAAAAAAAAAACGAAGGATTGAAAGATGGCGTTGAAGAAGCCTCGGGGCTGACTTGACGTTGACGAACCGCCTTCGATTGCAAAGAGGATGATAATACATAGTCCTTGTTCTTAACTCTGGCGTACGAATCATCTCGCTATAAGGCAAGAGATACCAGGAAGAACTTAGACATACCTGCGGGGCTCTGTAGAAAGTGAGAGAGAACGAGTGAAAGGTCCAGGAAGGGACAAAAAAAAAACCTCCACACTCCTTGATACAGTCCTCTGGTAGGGAATCGAACCCCACGTATATTGGTATTGCGCCACGTACTCTACCACTGCACCACAGAGATCGTTCAAGGCAGCGTCAGACGGGTTTCCTAAATCAATACTAGGCGACTCATCCAATAATTCAGTCGATCAACTACAAATAAACTGTTCACTCTCGCTTGAACCCATCCTTCATTTTTCAAACTTCGTGCAAAACGTCAAATGTCCGAAAAATCATAATATGCCTTAGACTTGACTCCTGCCATGGCCGGTGGGGAGTCGAGCTCCATGTCTCGGTCCATCGTCCATACATCTAGCTGGGCTCACCATTTGGGTGGTGTAGCTGGACCACTTTACCGCCCAGATCCTGCTGGACAGTGCTTTTTTATTCCGATGTGTGATAGGAGGCGCATCCACTGCTATCACTTTGCCTTCCACCGCCCAATCGAGTCGATTAATATCTTCTTACGCTCCTCCTATTTGCAAGACTCTTCACCTGGCTCGGTCCGCCCGCAAACGACTTTCAGTACTCAAAACTAACTGAAACGGAATGTCGTTAAACTCCCAACGGGGACTCGAAACGGAAATTCGAAACCCGCTCCCGAATCAGACTACTAGCGTAGAAAAGTGACCAGATGGACCACCCATTAAGCCGCTACACCAACAGAAGTGCCTAATGACACTTCTGTTAAGACTTTTTCGATGAAGGCACCCGCGCGGACATTTACTTTCTAACGCAGCTCATCGCCCGCTTTAGTCCTTGGCCCAGTAATCCAGACAAAAGAAAATTGGAGGTATACGCCTCGAAACCTCCGGCGGGGAATCGAACCCTGCGCCCCGTTCCCATAATTATACATGGTGTATGGCTCATGGGCATATTTTGGAATGTGCACTAAGCCACTGTACCACAGAGGTGTTGCCTAAAAGAACATGCTTTGGATATCATATCAGCAATCAAGCGAAGCTTCCACCCACGTCGCGTTGCCTCGTGCTCAACACGCTCTCCCTCGTCTAATCTTTCATACCATTCTCCCCAAGCCATCAGACTCTTCGTCTCGATCCGCAAGAGCCACATTTGAGGCGGAAGTCGTATACGATCACACGATTCAAAATGGTGTTTACTGTGCCAAACGATTATGGACGGCAGCAGTATGCCACTAGAACTTGCACCCTTGTTTTTGGTACAACGCCCAAAACACCGCGCTTCCGTTTGGAGGGTGGTGATTCTGTTTGGATTTTGAAACATCACATGCACCAACGAGAAGCGGCTGGAATCAGCGCCATTCCTCGAGCGTTGCCCAATTATCGATTATCACCAGCCAATCTGCCTATGCGACCCATCAAAATGGTTATCAGAGCCAAAGGAAAACCTCATCTCTTGGTCCTCAACCTATTACTTTTGAACACGTGATGAAATGGAACATGTACTATGCCACTATACGATAGAGGTGTCATCATCTATTCATTCCACGCAATGCTTAGGAAAGACTGAATTGTAGAAGCCGGGTGGTTCGCTTCGATATGAAGCGGCGCCTGCATCAGCAATTGGCTGGCCCAGTGGCAGGCGTGGCGGCCGTGGCCCGGGGATTAAGGCTGCGGCAGAGTTGTGCCACGGCAGCCACAATGTGATAGGCGCCCACTAATCTTTTTCGCGTCCACATCTGGAATCATGACATTGACAAGGTCCTAGAATGCTTCACCCAGAAACAGAGGGGGAAGAGCACAACACCTGAAACGTTTAGGAATTGGGGGTCAATAGGGGGTTCTGCTTTGACCTCACGTTTAGAGGTGAAGCAAAATGCGCCTTGACATATATATATATTCGAAACCCATGGGGGAAGAATAGCTCCAACACGTGAAAGGTGGTTCATAAATTGACAAAAATGCATTGATTCGGGTCTCGAGGAGGACATCTCCAGTGAGGAATCGAACCCCACGTCTCGTTTCACGCTCGCATTATGTCTGGTTGAGACGATACTTTGAGTCACTCAATACACCACTGTACATCGTTCCGTTTGAGATGTTTAACCAGCAGAGCGTCTGATAAAAGCAACGACTGACCAAAATTCAGCGGCGATGCGGTCATAATAAGCCCCCGATGGCGAGTCGAACCCCATCTCTCGTTCCTCAAATCATCTGCCGATTATTGACAAGATAGCACGTGTATGACGCCGCCATACCACGGAGGCTACCATCTTAGAGCTGCACCTTTATAGAGATGGGAGAATGACAATGACGAAGCAAGATAGCGAGCATGATGACTACCCCTCTGCCTCGCGTGTGTCACTGCATGGCTGTGCCGTTAAACGTTAAACCCCGGTTGGTACTAGGCGCCTTTCCAAAATCACTGTATACCCGTCCTTGGATCATAAGCCTCCAAAGGGGAATCGAACCCACATCTCTCGTTCCTCAAGTTATAACGATACTTGAACGAAGCGGAACGTGTGCTAGACCACTGTACTACGGAGGTCTTCGTCGGTGAGTGACTCATCGAAGCTTGAGAAGGACATTGCATTTCAGAAGACTGATGGTTTACTTTGACGGTTATCCGACTTTGACAGGACAAACCATGAGGGACTGTCGTGGGCTAATAGCCTCGGCTTTCTTCGCTGGACCAGGTAAGCGCGATACGCAAGCACATAGCTTGTGCTTACGGCAACGTTTTCACAATCCCTGCTGTGCATCCGGGAATAAGCGCCTTATGCGACTCGGAAGCGCCCAGTGATCTGAACCGTCTCAGATATTATACCTACACCCCGAGCATTGATCAATTGCCTTCCTTCGAAGTAGATCAACGGCATCCGAACGACGGGGTTGATTGGTAGATCTGGAAGCGAAATCGCAATATGAGCCAGAGCACGCCCAAGCAAGCATGACGAGACAGTGGCAGGAAGCGAGAAGTGAGGAGCGAGCCTAGATATTGCCCATACCCTTGTGCATATTGACCCAGATGCATCGGCAACAGACGATCCTGAACGCAGCATTCAACATTTAGTTTCAAACTGGAACTGAATTGACGCTTGAGAGGGAGGACAAGGGATAACGAGGGTTGGTACTTTGGGGAGCTTAATGTCCAGAGGGTCTGTCGAAGTCTCGGTTAGTCGGTCGATGCCTGGGATCAAAGAGGCGACGGAGGAAGGAGGGAGGTTGATAGCCAGAGAGCGTAGTTGAGCGCAGCGCTGAAGCTCAAAGCTCGAACCGGTAGGACAGAAGACCTTGACCCGTGAGCCGGTGCGGACGTAGTCGAGGTCTGTGAACCAATTGTGGCTTCACCGTAAGAACGTATCGCCGCGATCGATGTACGCGTCCTAATAAACAGGAGGCCTGGCGCGAGCTGAAAGAAGACGTGCACGTCCTCAGTCGGACTACTGGTTCCAGGAGCGTGGTGTTTCAGAGAGATGAGATGGCGCGAAGTTCAATGGCGCTGTTTAGGCCAATACAAGGAAGGACTATTGGGTGGGGGAGTAGCGCTGTGGCTGATTCAACCGTGAGCTCAATGGCGATGATGAAAGGCTGAAAGGGGCGCACGAGTAGACTAATAGAAGGAGAATCCTCGGCCCATCTAGGGGCAATGATCCCTCTTTCTTTCTCACATATACGTCGTTTCCTTTGCTACCTTCCGAGTACCCCAACGAGTCGCCTCATGCTTTCTCTCGGCCTGCCCCATTCTTTTTGCCTGCATCGTCCCCTGATGGAGACATTCGAAGCATTTCCACCACTCTAACGAGAGTGTATCGACTATTTGTGATGACTACATCGACGTCTTGGAGTACCCTTGGTGGACGTCGCGCCGTTGGTGCCGAGGATGTGTTATACGATACGAGGTCGAATGCCTCTGGAGGGGTAAAAGAGGAGACGTGATATGTCGTCTTGGAGAAGGGCATGTTTGTTTCGTCTGTATCAAAGGAGATAAAGTACTATGCAAGATGAACAGCAAGATGAAACGAACGCGACACAAGAAACGATGAACGCGTCGGTGGCTAAGTATTTCACACACTCTCGGTTCCGCCACCACTGACGCGCTCCGGATACATGGGCGCTCTCCTTAAAATGGCCGTTCTAATCACCCATAGGGAAGAGGCTGGAGCTGCATCTTTGAACGTATGCGGCGATGAGAAAGTTTAAGAAAATTTAACCAAGCCAGCGAGGATAGCAAGACCTCGGGTGGGAACCGAACCACACGTCCTTTCCCTCACTTGGCGGATTATGAAGGCGTTTGGAACTGCTAACGGTATACCATTGTACCACGGAGGCGCATCTACTGACGTCGCTCTGCGTGATTTAGATTTCTGACACGTACCCCGTCCACCCATGCTGACCATCTTCTCATTAGACTCCTAATTCGGTTTGAAATGGTCAAATAACATCTTTCGACTGAGAGCGTCCCATAAAAGCAACGAATATTGAAAAAGAAAAATGCTTGATCCGTGATAGGCCTCCGATGGGGAATCGAACCCCATGTCTCGTCCCTCAAAACGTCCAGCAGAATTTTCTTACAAGGCGGAACGCGTAAAACGCCGCTATACCACGGAGACTACCATCTTCTAACCGCACCTGCATTAAGGTGTAACCGATGATAGCGGTGAAGCAAGGTATGAGCGACAATTCTCCCGCTCCCCTGGGTGTCCGACAAGAGCCCAGGGCGTAATTGCGCGCTTCCTACTCTAACAGTTGGCTGGTCAAAATTATGCCCATGCCCTGAACTGAAAATTGAAACAAATCCGATGGCGAATCGAATGCACATCTCTCGCTCAACTGATTCCGTTGGAACAAGAGCCAATGAAACGGGACGTAGTGTACCGGACCAGTCGTACCACGGAGGCCTTATAAGCGGTCATACCACAAGTTGTTCAAAGATGGCGTTGAAGAAACCATATGACTCACTTGACTTTGACGAACCGTCTCCGACTGCAAAGAGGCTCAGGAGTCTTGACCATCTTCTCTTGGATGTTTAAATCACGTTTCTGTAAGCCAGTGGAGTATCTGCTGGATTCTAGAGCAAAAAATCGAGGTAGAAACTGTCAACATATGAAAGGTCCAGGAAGGGACAAAAAAGAGATTTTACAGACGTGCTGGTTCACACCTCTGCCAGGGAATCGAACCATACGTTTCCCGCATCCATTCGCATCGTACCATTAGGCAACAAATCCCATTCATCCAGTGGATCGAGTACACCGTTTACTCTTGCTTGAAAATGTCCTTCCAAAAGATCTTCACTTGCTCGATTGCGTCGATGCCCGGTCGGGAGTCGATACCCACGTCTCGTCTACAGTCTGCAATGGTACAAATCATTTGGACTGCTCAGTCGGAACGCTGTAGATTCGTGTCGTTTATCATAGTCGAGCCTTCTAAATGGAGGAGGTTTCTTCAATCGTCCGTCATGTTAGTAAGCATGGCTGAAGTCCAGCTCTAGCAGGGTGGTGGTGTTGGTCCGAGAACAAGAATGGCTTGGGGAGGGACCCCGGGAACAGACTTGTAATCTCTGTTGTTGCGCCTAGAGTCAGGAATCGGTAGTGTGTCCATTTCGATTTCCATTGCAGTGAAAAAAGAGACTCCTCACTCACACAGACGGGGGTGGACTGATACATATCTCACGGGTTTCCCGATAACGCCTTGGGCGTCAGGTCTGACTATTCAACCCAGACACTAACCAGTTAACGTTTCATCAGTTAATGGTTCTGAAACCATACATTCTCTGAATCCACGCACGCGGTAGGTGTAGGTCCAGAGAGTGTATGGTTATCATTCCATTTTTGGGTAACTACAATCAAAAGTGGTTCGCGAAGTGTTACCTTTTACGACAACAGGCATTGAAACAGGGCAGAAGATGACTCGGCACATGGATTTCGCCGCATGTTCGGAATCCACGGACAAACCTATAGAAGTGATCAATTGACACACCCAATAGACCCAGGCTGGCATGGAATGAGTGGTCGAAGAGAAGTCAAAAAAATCAAGTGGAACAAGCAATTCAGATTCAGCTTTGCCTCTGTTCTGTCTTTAACAAATCCACCTCGCTCAATGGATTATCCCCGCGAAGTTTGCTTTGTTTCAGGAACGATCAGTGTTGGGAATGGCCCTTGAAACTTGGAACGCAAATTCAATGCATCAGCAACACCGTCGATCTTGTGCTGTTTGTGATTCACCTGAAACTCTGGGGATCAGGAACCTCACAGTGAACATTAACCGTAAGATGGATGTTGAATTCAACAACACAGGAGGAACGTCTGCTCCATATACAGTAACTTTACCACGCGCAAGCTCATATAAAAGGGTCGACCGACGACCTCAAATTCTTAGTCCTTCCAGCACCTGTTCAATCCTCCGTCGTCAGCCATAGTAAATATGAAACTTGTCCTCTCATCTGCCCTTCTCCTCGCCGCTGGCGTAGGTATCAACGCCCAATCTTCCTCTCCGATTCCCCTCCCAGGAGTTGAGATCCACCCCAACGGACAGCCAGGCAAATGCGTCGAAGTTCGTGGAGGCGTCTTTGCGAATGGAACTCCCGTTCAAATGTAAGCTCAATATAATAGCCTTGTTGCTCGTTGTTCGCACTAATAACACAACCTCACCAGTTACGATTGCAACGGAACCGCCGCCCAGAGGTGGGTGTTCACCCGGAACCAGGTTCAAGCCCAGATTCGCCTTGCAAACACCAACTTTTGCTTGGACGCCGGTGACAGTAAGTTTTTAGCTTCGATGTCCTTACGCTGTCTGAAGTTCCTCACTGCAGACCCTTTCCAACCCAACGGAAACAAGATGAAAATTTGGGAGTGTTACCCTACTCTCACTCAACAGCGATGGTACATCGGTGACGACAGCACCATTAAGCTTTCCGACATTCGCTACGGCCAATTCGGTATGTCATGCACTGAGAACTTTCGGTGCTTCTCTTCCTAACACTTGCCGTCTAGGTGTCTGCCTTGACCTCACCGACGGTCGTCTCGACAACACCAATGTGCTCCAGACCTGGGAGTGTTCTCTCAATAACAACAACCAACTCTGGCAGAGTGGACCGGTCCCTTCGATTCCCAGCACAACCACTCAACCCGCTGGCCCCATTATCACCCCGCCCCCTACTGGCACCGATGACTACCCCAAGCCGGGCTGCCCCGTCTACAGCTGTGCCGCGTGCCCCCCTTCGTACACTGTCACGTTCATTGCACCTCAGCCCACACTGTGCCATGCTTGCGCTTGCGTCTCAACCCCCGCCGCTACACCTACTCCCCCTCTTGCCACTCCAGGTGGTGAATACCCACGTCCTGGATGCCCCGTCTATAGCTGCCCCGCTTGCCCCCCAGGAACTCTCCCCACCTTCGTCGCTCCCAACCCCAACGTCTGCCATGCGTGCGCCTGCATCTCTCCCGCTGCAACTCCCACTGGTGCTCCATGAACGCTTTCAGTCTATACCCACCTTGGTTCTTCTGAAACAACTTTCCTTTAGAAATCTCATCTTACAAAATAAGAAAAAAAAAAGTCTGATGTTTGGCCGTGAAGTACGCGCATGTGGCCACGTACTTTTAATTCCTTGTATTTTGGCGCACGGTCGCACTGTGTATTTACTTGTGATGTAGCTTTCGTAGTTTTCAGCCTATGAATTTCTTGCTCACAGACATAAGGATTATAGGCGCCGAGGTTTTCAGGTTTGTCCGATTTCAGTATCGCCATTCCCAATGTCATTTTAGTGTTAGAGTGGATAAGCCAAGTCATGACACAACCCACCGTTATCCCTCATTCCTCAACTAAGCATTCGGACAAAGCAGAGCGACGTTTGCGGTAGACCACTGTACGACTGGAGGTATCATTGAGGAGCGAATCATTGCGAAATCAGAAAAGCTTGATTTCGAAGACGTTGAGATTAAAACACACAGCCAGTGCGTACCGCTTAGAGATCACTTCTGTCAATGGGTGTCAAGGTAGGCGCCCAATACGAGTCGGAAGTGCCCAGGGATCTGAACCAGCTGATCGGGAACTTGTTCGAGTATCTTCATTTCAAATGATTCAACTGCGTCTTATCGCTGGAAACCTTCGTCATAAGTAACTCCGCCTGTCTCTGAGCAAGCACCATGTATTCAATGGAAGTGAGAAATTGATAGGCCTGGAAGCAAAATCGCAGTAGCGGGAGCGGAAGTGAGCCCAACTAAACATGGCAAGACGTTGGCAAGGGATGAACAAGCGAGAAGCGAGCCCAGAGACGCCCCATCCCCTTCTGTTTAGTGCCATGCATGCATTGACATCCTGCGTCGATTATCTCTGAATCTGCTTGAATCCTTCGGGGTAGGTAGGCCATCCAAATCACCGCTCTCAACATCTAGGTGAAACCCGGCACTGACTCGACGCTCAAGAGCAAGGAGATAACGCGGTTGGGTACTTTTGAGCTTTCAACGTCCAGAGGCTCTGTCAAGAAAGGCCTCCGTGAGTATGTTCGATGCAAGTAATCAAGGAGGCGACTGATAAAGGAAGGAGATAGCGGGAAGAGACCATAGTTGCGCGCAGGTCTGAGACTGAGACCTCAAGCCAGTAGGGCGAACGACCTCTGCACATGCCTGATCTCGAAAGTGGAGAGCCCTTGCGGACGTAGTCGATGTCTGCAAACCAATTAAAGCCTCAGCATGATCGACGTAAGCATCCCCAGATATAAAACGCCTAGCGCAAGCTGCGAGGAGATGAGCACTTGCTTGGTCAGGCCATTAATTCCAGGAGCGTGGCGCTGCACAACAGAGCTTCGATAGTGTGAAGTTCAATCGCCCTCCTTAGGGCGCTGGAGTTGGGTGGGGAGTAGCGTTGTGGGTGATCAAACCATGAGCTTGACGGCAACGATAAAAACCTGCAAGGGGTGCACGACCGGACTAATCCAGGGGAATCCCTCCTCTCAGTGCATTTGGGCGGGAGGATCCATCTTTCTTCCCTCTCCCCATTGCCTTTGCTGCCTTCAATGTACCCCCACGAGTCACGTCCTGCACCGTACCTGCCTGCGTCGTCCCCTGAGTCGTCGTTGGAGATTGTTGAAAGCTTGCCACCTCTCGAACCAGGGCGTCCAAGCCCAAAGCCCATGGATGTACGGAGGAGATATCTGTAACGTCCACGTCGATGCCTTGGAGCGTTTCAGTATCGTTGGTGGACGGCGCGCCGTTTGTGTCGAGGACGCGTTGGACCGAATCGAAGGTTTCGGGAGGGATGGAAGACGAGAGGTGGGATGTAGCGTTGGAGAAGGGTATGGCCTTTCTTGGAAATCAAATACTATGAGAGAAAAGTGCTGTGGATGCATAGAGTCATGATGAACAGCAGGACAAACTTCGAATGCAACGCGAAACGAATGAACGCGTCCGTGACTAATAAGCACCTCAAAGTTTAAACACTCTTTGTTCCAGCCACACGTAGATAGGGGTCGTCGCAGAGTTCGTTATTCTAATCATTAACCGGGAAGAAGTGGAAACTGTACCCCGTGGCAATGAGAAAAAAAGAGGATGAACGTATAATGAAGCGCGACATCGGGGGGATTGAAGGCTGTTTTCTATCTCATTTCCGCCAATCA